TACATATTTTGGGGGTTCAACATCAAGATATGTTGATCAAATCAGTATTACTAGCATATATATTGTTACAAATCATAATTATTCTTTATGCCCCTTGTCCAACCTCTCCCTGGCCCCCTCTCCCTCCCCTTATCAGTACTTTATTCCTTTTTATGGAATATCACATTTTGTTTATCTTTAATCAATTGATGAACTTTGGGTTGTTTCTACTTTTTGGCTCTTTTGAATAATGCTGTTATAAACATTCATGTACAAATTTCTGGGTGGACATGTATTTTCGTTCCTCTTGGGTGTACACTTAGAAGTAGAATTGCGGGCCGGCCTGGTGGCGCACTGCTACAGTGCGCCGCTTGGGAAGCGCGGTGGCACTCCCGCCGAGGGTTCAGATCCCACATACAGACCGGCCGCTCACTGGCTGAGCGAGGTGCGGGAGCAACACCGAGGGTTGCGATCCCGTAGCCGGTCCCGGTCCGGTACGGGCGCGACACTGAGGGTTGCGATCTGTTGCCAGTCACGAAAAAAGACAAAAAGGAAAAAAAAAAAAGAAGTAGAATTGCTAGGTCATGTAGTAACTCCACTTGACTTTTAAGAACTGCCACACTGTTTTCCACAGTAGCTGTGGAAAACACTTTACACTTCACCAGCAACGGAGGAGGGCTCTGATTTCTCCACCTCCTTCACCAACACTTGTTATTGTCCGTCTTTCTTATTACAGCCATCCTAGTGGGTATGAAGTGGTGTCTCACTGTGGTTTTGATCTGCATTTCCCTAAAGACTAATGATGCTGGGTTGTAATGTTGTGAAAGCCACAATTTTAAGTGCAGGAAGCCTCTAGCAGCTGTTTCTCTATACACTTTTCTACCAAGCAACTATATTGGTTAAAAATATGCAGCACAGGTGATTATTCTCTTCCATGTCTTCGAACTCCTGGTAATACTTGTCCATGTAATTTCTCCTAATTACATGGAACTCTTCATCCATGATAATGTCCTCTAAAGATACAACCACAGCACACAATTCTGCACCAGAGGCGGGAGAGATGGAAGAGAAGGACTGGTTCCTTGAAGGCAACCATCACACCACCACTGCTGCTGCAGCCACCTTGCCTCCTACCCTGCCCGTGACCCAGGCCCAACCCGGGACCCCACCTAGCATCAAAGGAAAGTGCATGAAGAGGCCCCTGAGGATACTCTCCGAGGGGCTGGCGTCCAGATCTTGCCCAGTCTGGCTTGCACGCCAGGACTAGATGCAGCCTCCTGAGACTGAGGCTATGCCCAGCACTCCCTACATCATTCTTGTAAGAACTGGACCTCAATGACAGGGAGAAGAAGCAGAAGCATAAGAGGCAGATAACAAGGATCAAGAAGAGGACAAGGAAGAAGGGAGGAAAGAACAGAATCAATGAAGAGCAAGCGGAAAAGGGAAGAGAGAATCCTAATATTCTGGGCAAATGACTTTAAGTAAAAGTTGATTCTTATTGCAGACCTAGTTGTTTGGGGAGAGATCTTTTTAAGAGTGAAATCTGCAGTCCTGGAGTGATAATCTGGAGTGACAAAGGTGATAATCTTAGATTGCCATCCTTTTGTCTTATGCAGCAACTGATTGTATGTGATATCCAGAGCAGACCAGGAATGGTAGAAGGGGAGATGGAGTGGGAAAGACAGACAGACTTAGGGCATTAATTACTAAGGATGATGCGGAAGATGCCAAGATAAAGAAGGTGATGGAGATGTTTAGGAGAAAAGGACAGCATGTCCAGGGTAAGTGGGAATTGGAAGTTGCCCAAGGAAACTGAAAATGGGTAATTTACAGAGACAGACTTACCTCTTCTCTGAACTGAGAAATTGCCACACATGGTAAGTTCAGTTGCTCAAGCTCTTAGTGACTTGACCTCTGTTGCCATAAACTCAGATTTCAATCCACCCTTTTCATTTTGATTCAAGATGTTCTTCAGATGACAACAGGAAGTGACCTCTGACCATTGGGAATTTGAATCACTTTTGCTTTTTCTTTTGAAATTGATTGAAAATTTCTCATTGAACATGTATCATATTTATAATTGGGAAAAATACCAATAAAACTGTTTTCATTTGGAGAAAAGTGTGGCCCAATTACAGTCCCATCCCTGGGTCAGAATCCTGGGAGGCTAATACCAGACCTTCCTCACCCTCTCCCTCTCCAAGGAGCTGGAGTTTGGTGTGAGGCTGGGTTGGCAAATAGCCCTCATTCAGAGACAACAATGGTTGTCAGGGGGGTGTCATCTGAGAGGGTAACCAACGTTACCTTGCCTCAGAGGATGCACATTCTGGCCCCACCCAGTTCCCTCGAACATTATATTTTCTTCTTGACTTTGGGGAAAGCCCTGAACACTCCAAGGATGTGAATCTCAGTTCCTGTACACCAGGGAAAAAAAAGTCTCAGATGGAACTACAGCTTCAGTCAAGGTGAGGACTTTCATGTGTCGTGGTTTAATCTTTAAAAAGAAAAAACAAAAAACTTTTAAATCTCCTTACATACCACCTCCTCAAGAGCCCTGGGGGACTGGAAGGCTCCTGTTAGAAAGGGGCATTGTCTCCTGAACCTCTGACTCGCTCCCGTTCATACCTACCTTATATCCTTCATAAGTGCCTTAGTAAGTCTATGTTTTGTTCAATGAGTCATCCAGAAGGACAAAAGAAAATGACATGAAAAAAAGTCAGGAATGATGAATGCATGACCAAAAAGTGCCTAGACTTCAGGTAACGTGGGGTAAGGCATCCCGGAAAGAACTTGAAGTCACTTCCAAAGCCCCAGACAAGCATGCCCCAGAAATACACAGCAAGGACAGTCTCTGGAATCAGGCAGGAAAACCTGTGGGGATATAGGAGACCTCACACCCCAAGACGAGAAGAAATACTGGCTTGAGGTTTGGAGAGGACAGAATAACCTACTGTTTCTCTTCTTGGAGTTAGTATTTAGGTGTGACTTCAATTGTGTTTTGATCCCATTGGGGATTGTACAGAGATCAGAACAGGGCAATTAGTACTTAACTAAAAAGTATCACCTCACAGAACTTCTGGCTCATCATAAGGCAAATCTAAATCTGTACAACATCTGAAAATTAGTGATAGACAGAGGGAGCAGTGGGCATTCTGGAAGAAATGGAGCTTGGAAGAGAGAGAGAATTAAAGGCTTCAGATATCTCATTCTAAAACATTCCACTATTAATGTAAGATATACAGACAAGAGCAAAGTCTAAATGACTTCCTGGCTGCAAAGCATCAATAAGGTAATGCAGTCAATAGGCTCTTCCATGATTCTTCTACCACGAATATCCATTAAAGACCACCTCATCTCAGTCCCTGACTCATTCACTGACAATCCCTCCCTTACCTCCTCCAGGAATGCTGTCTGGTTTAAATGTGTGCATAAGAACTGTTCCCCATAACGCACCCAGGAGCTCCTTTTGCAACAGAACCGAGCTCTCTGCCCTTCCTCTTACCTTCGATGGAAATCAGGTCAAGGGGACGGAGGGGCAATCAAGGTTGGAAAGAGCTCTAGAAATTTCCTTAAACAGTGGTGTCAAGAAGAAGGGAAATGAAGGATCGGGTGGGGGACTTGCAGGTAAGAGGAAGGCAGACCTGACTGTGAGACTGAGTCTCTTGTTTACATTCCCATACACCTGTGTTCCTCAAATGTGAGAAGTATATAGTTCTCTTTGGAAGAAAAAAAAATTGTTAAGGATCCTTAGGAATATATATTCAAGAACCCCAGGTTGAGAATTGCTGGTTTGGAAACTACAATTATTCAATGGTAATGTCTTTCAATTGTAAGTTATAACAATAAAGAAGTTTTTTCTTTGTAATTAGTAGTTTTTTTAAAATTTATGATCATATGAAAATGTTTCTCAATAGTGTATAAATTGCAGACACCTGAGTATACTTCCAAGGATCACAGAGTCAGAAACAACTCTACAGACTCCCACCCGAATACCATGAAAGATTTCCTATGGAGATTCATCATTACTGCAGTAGCGTTGCTGCTCCCAATCTTCTATTTCATTGATGAAAACCCTTTTGATACTACGAGTTTCCTGTCTCTCGTGAGTACCCAAAATTTTGGGTGGGGCAAAATTGAAATCCCCAGACTAGAAGAAAGAAGACAGATAAGTGTGTATCTGTGTGAAATTGTCATGAATATTGTAGACATTCAAAGTAGAAAAAAGACAAGAAAGCTTGAAGAATCAACATATTATTTAAATTTGATGCAAATAATACAGGATGGTGGCACTCTGAAAGAGAGAATTCAGGGCTGGGAAGTAATAACCTTTATTTAATGCCTCAGCAGAGTTAGTCCTTTTCTTACAGCAATTGAATTTTTCTCTTTGTTTTTTAAATTTCCCATTTTAAAAAATCTCCCTTGGTTTTCAAAGTTATACATTTACCCCTATTTTATGCAATAGGATCCTGAATCTCAAAGCAGTTAAGTCATTTCTCTAAGTCAAGAAAAATTTTAAGGAGTAGAGAAAATTCCACCAGAATCCAGAAAAGATAAAAGAGAAGGGAGGATGATGAATGAATTCGGAAGTGTGAAATGCCACCAATGGGGGAGACTGTAGATTGGCACATGGGGTGGTATTACCCGGCCTTCTGCATCTCTCACACCTAACTCGTACTATGCCCTTCATGAGATTAGGTGAACCAGACTGTAATTATAGGTGAAGAATGGCATAGTCTGGCACCATCTCATTCCCTACATATAACCCAAGAGAGCTAGAGAAATCCCAACTTTCTTCACCCCAGGATCCATACCTATACAGGAACCCCTAGAATAGGACTTTCCCAGAAGATAAGGAAAAAACTTGAACTGATCCTGGGCCACCTGCCCTGTATCCTGGAGATTATTTTGTTACGTTATATGAAGGGGGATCCACCAGCCATCATTCCCAGAGGATGAATCATAGAGCTAACACTGACTCTTCTCAGGAGGAAAAGGAGATGGTAGCTTGGCAGAGAGCCCGGATGCAGATCAACCCTGGTCGAACGAACCACCTGAAAACCTTCAAAGATATGCAGAGAAACTCAGAATCGCTGAAAAATGTGAACTCCCGTGTGTTGATTGGAGCCCCTCCCATGGAGAAAAGTGAGTGTCCGCAGGAGGTAGGTCATCCAGCTCAGGCAAGGATAGAAGGGAAAGGTGGGTGAAAAGTAAGAAGACAGGTATGCTGAGATGGAGAACTGGGTCTAAGGAATTTAGGCTGCAACACATAGTAATTCTGAGTCCCTTAATCTCCCATCCCCTCTCCTGATGAAACTAGGGTAATGATGGAAAAGTACAGGAGAGAATTATGAAAAAGGGGACTGAGTAAAAGGTAAGAAGTTGGGAGGTGACAACACGGTGTTGAGCGGGTAGTCTCCTAGGGTTCCGTGGGGGGTCTAGAGATCATCTAGTGCCTTACTACTCAAGGTGTCATCCATGAACTTATTAGAAATGCAGAATCCTAGTTCTACCCCAGACCTATAAAATCATAATTTTCTTTTTAACCAGACCCCCAGGTGATTAGTATTCACATTAAATCTTAAGAAGTCTACTCTAGTAGATCTGCAGCACAGGAGATGATTCTGGAGAGCAAAGCCAGGACTAAGACGGGCTTCAATTCAGCAAAATCAGTTTCAATGCTTTTTAGACTCTCTATGTGATAGACACTCTGTCCTTCCAGTCTCGGTGTGGGCTACCCTCGTAATCTTTAAAAAATTTCATTTACAGTAAATAACATTCTCATTGTAAGCTATTTCCATACAATACATTCTAAATATATATATATGTTGTATAGAGTAAAAAGGGAATACCCCTTTTTCTCCCCCTTTTCTCCACAGTAAATAACATTCTCATTGTAAGCTATTTCCATACAATACATTCTAAATATATATATATATATATGTTGTATAGAGAGTAAAAAGGGAATACCCCTTTTTCTCCCCCTTTTCTCTCCCCTGCCCCAGAAGTCTGATGAGTCCACTTCCAGAGATCCAGACATCTTTCTAGCATTTACATATATGCTGTATCTGTGCAATTAAAAAAGATCACTTCCTATGTGTTCTTCCGACATTTGCTTTTTTCATTCATTAATGTGTGTATGCCTTGCAGAGGTTCCCTTAACCTCATTCTTTTTTTAACTGCTGGCATCAACATAGCATGAGTGTAAAAAATTTATTTAACCGCTCCTTATAGAACAGCACTCAGTTGTCTTCAGTGTTTTGCTGTTATAAACAATGTTACAATTAATATATTTTTTACTCATGTAAAAATATTTCCTTGGGAAATATTCCTAGATGTGAAATTAATGGGTCCAAGAGCATATGCACTTCAGATTTTGATTTATACCTCCAAATTGCATGGGGAAAAAGATATATTAATTTATAATCACATCAGCTTATGGTTGTCCAACTCCTCACAATCTCACCAGTAAGTTGTTGTTGTCATTTGCCCATTTGGAAAGCAAAATATATATTTTTTATTGGTGATATTTGTTATTTGACATCCCTCATTATTGGTGATAGTTGAGCATTTTTTTATGTTTATGGGTCATTTTTATTTATTCTATGAATTGCCCAGTTGGGGATCAGAGCCAACACCTGAGTGCCTTTTGCTCTGAGATCCCTGGCACTTTCACAGCCCTGAGGCCTCATCATCATGCCAGGTTGCTTGAACCCGAGTCCATGATGCATCCTGAGACCTGGGAACAGGTGTTCCAACCCAGCAAGGAGCCCACCCTCAGGACAGAGGGGATCGTGTGCACATTTTCCAGAGCCATGAAGCCAACTGACCGGGACCTTCAGCCACTGCTTGTGGCCCCGCTCTCTTCAGTGAAGCACCCTTGCAATTCTCACAGCCACATGGAGTCAGTCACTTGGTGACCCAAGCAGACCAGCAAAGACCCATGCACACCACCTACATGCCTCTCTCAGGATACAGACCTCCACTTCTAGCACCAATGAGTCTGCCTAGGGCTGCCCGCCCCAGCAGGGGGACTGCAGAGGGAACTTGCCTCTCCCTTGGGGGCACACTGGTCCATCAAGAGTCCAAGTGACCGGGGCCGGCCCGGTGGTGCACTGCTACAGTGCGCCACTTGGGAGCACGGCTGCGCTCCCGCCAAGGGTTCAGATCCCACATACAGACCGGCCGCTCACTGGCTGAGCGAGGTGCAGGCGCAACACCA